TGTTGATAAAAAAAAAGTAAGTGACGTAATCTGTGCATTTTGCTGTTGTACAACAGCCAAAATAGTTGGTAATTGCTCCATTTCAAATTTGCAACTGCCAATTCGACTGCCTTTGTTTACGTTTTCATGAGCCACAGCTGATCGATCAGCTGTTCGGATGTTTAATGTGCTTTAATGTTGTGTGGGAACACGAGTTTCACATTTGTAAAAAATCCCAAACGTTCCTCACAAATGCGCTGTGTGGGAAGACAGTATTAAGAAGAAGAAATCAGAGTTGCACAGAAAAACTATCGCCAAACAAACGGTCGTTAGATTTAGATGCGCTTTGATGCCGGTCCATTTGAGAAAATTCGGAACGGCAAAAACTTATAGACCGTTTGATCAACCGACGGTGGAAGCGCTTTGACGGTGTGTGGGATGACCCTATAAACTTAAAAAAAATTATTATAGTAATTGGGTCTTCTCATAGCCGTCCATCTGCCTTCAGCCATCAAGGATGGAATATACGGTTTTGCCAAAGACATTAGAAGTCATTAAGATGCGTAACGTCCACACATTCGTTTTGCAATATGATGCTTCGTTGATGGCAACGACAAATGCGTTCTACAGCTCTCACAAAGTTGAGAGTATAAAAATCTAAAAATTGAATTCGCTTGCTTGTATAAGTGAACACAAGAACACGCAAGCGCGTATGTGTGCGTGAATATGTGTGCGCAAGCACTAAAACTTTATTTTTATATTTTGTGCTGGTGTTCGGTAGAATTGGAGGCGATGGTAGCTGCAGAAAATACAACTGATCTGAAATATGGATTGTATTTTTGTAGAAGGCTGAACTTTTGCCCTCAAAATAGGCCTCAGTATCGGCAATCGCCTCCTCATTTTTTCGATATCTCTTGCGTTGGACGTGCTTTTTGAGATCTGAAAAAAGCCAGTAGTCGCTGGGGGCCAAATCTAGAGAATAGGGTGCGGTCGGCAGTAGTTCGAATCTCAATTCGCTCAATTTCATCATTGTTGCCACAGACTTGTGGCACGGTGCATTATCCAGTGAAACAGCGGTTTCTTCTTTGCCATATGTGGACGTTTTTTCTTGATAGCTGGGTCCAGTCGATCCTGCAGCTTTATATAATATTCGCTGTTGATTGTTTTACCTTTCTCCAGGTAGTCTATAAACAAAATCTCATATGCATCCCAAAATACGGACGCCATAACCTTACCTGCCGATATTTGTGTTTTGGGACGCTTCGGACGGCACCAAATACATCCCACTCAGAAGACTGTTGACTGGATTCTGGAGTATAGTGGTGTATCCATGTTTCGTCCATTCGTCCACGTAACGGCGAAAAAAATCGGTCCCATTGCGCTTCATCATGCTCAAAAACGTCTCGGAATCATCAATGCGTTGTTGCTTTTGGTCCGGTGTTAGCAATCGCGGCACCCACTTTGAGCAGAGCTTTCTCATATCCAAATGTTCATGGAATATCGCCAATACACTGCCTTCTGAAATCTTTGATGCATTAGCTATCTCTTTTAATTTCAATTTGCGTTCGGCTAATACCATTTTTCGGATTTTGGCGATATTTTCTGGCGTAACTGCTGTTTTTGGGCTACCGCTAGGGTCAACGTCTTCGGTGTCCACACGACCACGTTTAAATTCATTGTACCAGTCCTTGATGGTTGATTTTCCTGGAGAAGAGTCCGGGTAATGCTTATCAAGCCAAATTTTGGCTTCTACCGTATTTTTTCCAATCAAAAAACAGTGTTTAATGAGGACACGAAATTCCTTTTTTTTCCATATTGTAGAAAAACTCAAGGGTTGTTTCACTTTAAAATTTATAACTTGAAAACACGTGGTCGCAGAGTTGTAAAATGTGTACACAAAGCTTATGATAAAAGACACTATCAATAAAAAATATCGATGTTTGGTTATTACTGCCCCGTATATGTCAGGCCGGGAACTTATTGAGTGGTGTGGGGTAGGTGGTATAGGCTTCCCGAATCTATAAAAATAATGTCGAGGTTGGCGTTTTATATTAAATAGCAATAATTGGGGACACTTTGGAACAAGAATATTAAAAAAAAAACGCCAACAACTGTTTCGGGCATTCTTGTAGCCTTGCCGACAAATTTTAAATTCGATATTTCATTTGTTCCTCGCCAAGTGTGTATTCATTCTCTAGTGTTATAGCAAAGACAATACAATTAACAAGATGCCCCACGCCCATACATTCGTTTTGCAATATGGGGCTTCATTTTTGATGGCAACGACAATCGCGTTCTAAAAATAGAATGCGTTTGCTTGTATGAGTAAACACAAGAACACGCAAGCGCGTATGTGTGCGAGAATATGTGTGCGCCAGCGCGCAAGCACCAAAAAATGTAAAAATGTGTTTTGTGCTAGCGACCGCTTGTTAGGAGGCGATGCACAGTAGCGCCTCTCCAACAATTAGCGTTGCAAAAATCGAAAAAGTCATGTTCGCAAAAACGATTTTAACCATACTTATTCGACAGAACATTTCTCAAGGACTGAGAATCTGTAATAAAATCAATTAAATTTTTTTTTTAATTCTAAGTGTAACCGCCACAAAACCGTGAGCGCTACAGTTAGCATATTTTTTTTTATTATTATGCAGTACATATATATATTTTACAACAATTATCTGTCCGTTCAAATTATTAGGTTATCTTATTTGGTTCAAAATATATGATTTTTGAAACGCTAATTGAGAAAAGGCGCCACTGTGCGATAGTAGCGGCAGCAAAAACAGCTGATCTCGAATATGGATTGTATTTGTATACAAGTTTAATCCAGAAAACCAGTTAACTAAATTTTATTTTCATCTGTATGTATATTTTATAATTTTATTATTAAATAAATATGCAAAATAATACAAATAATTGATTTAAATACATACATAATTACATATGTATGTATTTACAATTATCTAATTCAATTGACTAATAAATTAACAATATATTATTATGATTCATACATTATAAAAAATTCATTTATAAATCAATAAGTATATAAAATTAAAGAGATGTTTAAATAAAAAATAAATTTATTTGCGAAATTGGCCTTCTGAGGCCCGTTTGCACACAAACATCTGGCGGCGTCGCTGAATGCGTACAAGAGAACGGCTGGCTCTAGAGCGCTCTCTTCGCTGGCTTTTGAACAAAATCTAAGAGAGCCTGGAGCCAGTTCAAAAGCCAGCACAAAAAAATCGTGTGCAAAAAAATCGTATGGCGTTACTTATCTTATAACTCTATTGTCTTTGGTTATAGGGTCTTCCCACACAACATTAAAGCGCATTTAGCATCCGTTGAACAAATGCTCCATAAGGTTTTGCCGTTCCGAATTTTCCCAAATGGGCCGGCGTTAGTTCAGCATTAAAATCTAACCACGGTTTGTTTGGCGATAGTTAGGCGATAGTTCTTCGGTGCAACTCTGAAAATTTGACCATCACTAAGAAAGTGTATACACACTTGGCGGGAAACAAATGAGATATGGAATTTAAAACGTGGCGCCAAAGCTACAAGCATGCCCAAAATAGTTGGTGGCGTTTTTTTTGTATATTCTTGCCCCAATATGTCCCCAATTGTTACTATTTAATACAAACCGCCTGCCTCTACCTTATTTTAAACATTTTGGATGCCTATACCACCTATAGACACTTTTCGGGGAATTTGCTCTTTGTTAGAGAAAAATCATTAGAAAAACTAAAATTCCTTGTCATTTAATTCATTTAAATTTAGTGCGGATTGCTGTGCATTTTGCTGTTGTACAACAGCCAAAATAGTTGTTAATTGCTCCATTTCAAATTTGCAACTGCCAATTCGACTGCCTTTGTTTACGTTTTCATGAGCCACAGCTGATCGATCAGCTGTTCGGATGTTTAATGTGCTTTAATGTTGTGTGGGAACACGAGTTTCACATTTGTGAAAAATCCCAAACGTTCCTCACAAATGTGCTGTGTGGGAAGACAGTATTAGATGCGTTCTATCCGCGGTCCATTTGAGAAAATTCGGAACTGCAAAACCTTATGGGCAGCTAGTTCAACGGACGGTGAATGCGCTTTGACGGTGTGTGGGAAGACCCTATAAGGGTAATTGAGTTTAAAAAAAATCAAAATCAATTAATCATTGGTTATGGCCAGAAAAATTTATTTGATTTATATGAATACATTGTTGGTTTATTGTTTTATTAATGATTATGTAAATAAATGTAAGTTTTGGTTTTTCTCTGACTTTATTTGAAGTAAAAAATAAAAAAGTTTTGTTTTCGATTTAATCGATTTTTTTTTTTTTTTTTTTTTTTAAAAAAAAAAAATCGATTTGCTGAGAATCAGCTCCAGTCCATTAGGTTTTGCCGTTTCGAAAATGCTCATTTGGACCACCGTAAGAAATCATTCACTACGAAAATGTAAACAAAGTTGACGAGTAACAATTGAAATATGTAATTATAAAAGCTACAAACATGCCCAAAATAGTTGTTGGCGTTTTTTCTGTATATTCTTGCCCCAACGTGTCCCCAATTGCTATTTTTTTTCAAACCGCCTCTACTTAATGTAATAGATTTTGGAAGCCTATAACACCTATACACACTCTTCGGGCAATTTGCTCATTGTTACAGAAAAATCATTAGAGAAACCCAAAATCCCCGTCATCTAATTCATCTTAAGTTAGTACGGTTAAAATCGGACTCAATCTGTGCTTTTGCTGTTGTTATACAGCCTAAATAGTTGACAATCTATTTTACTCTCACATCGGCCGCTTTAGCAATCTTTGTTTACGTTTTTATGAGCCACAGCTGATCGATCAGCTGTAATCGAATGCAGATGGACTTTGACGCAGCTCTGTGGGTACACGTGTTTCACATTTGTAAAAAATCCCAACCGTTCCTCACAAATGCGCTGAGTGGGAACTCAGTATAAGCATCGATGATGCCAAACATCGATAATAGCGATATTTCGAAAACGTCAATGACATCGATGTTGGCATCAATATTTCTCCACCTCTAGAAATTTTATTTAATATAAATTACAGTACTTAGAATAAAATGTTCTATGAACATATCATATTGGCCAAAAAAGGGCCATTGGCCAGGATCTGGTTAGCAGCACACTGGGATAAAAAAATAACTAAAGCCCATGTGTTTGAAACTAATATCGAAAAGTCGGTCGAAGGCATATTGCAACCTAAAGTAAAATTGGCGCTTAGGACTTCTGGGCATCTATTATTGGGAGTTGTGCGCATTTATTCCAGAAAAGCAAAGTATTTATTAGCGGATTGCAATGAAGCCTTTGTTAAGATTAAGGTAAGAATAATATATATGTATTTAAAAGACTATTTATTAATGTTTGTTTCTGTAGATGGCATTCCGACCAGGCATGGTTGACTTACCGGAAGGCCATAGGGAAGCGAATGTTAATGCCATTACACTTCCCGAAGTTTTTCACGACTTTGATACCGCATTACCCGAACTGAATGATATTGATATTGAAGCTCAATTCTCTATAAACCAGTCCAGAGCTGACGAAATAACAATGAGAGAAGATTACGCCAGTTTGTCGCTTTCGTTACAAGACGACGGCTTTGGAGATATTGGATTTGAAGCGGAAACGCCAGAAGTTATTCGGGGGTCTTCTGATATTAATGTAAGTACTAAATTAAAAATCAAAACAAACAATGGGGGTGCGTAAAAAAAAAAACAGAAAAATGTATGTACAGTATGTCAACAAAGTGTTTTGACAATGAAAAGTGTTTTGATTTTTTATGTTTGCATGCCAAAAAAGGAAGTAATCAGCGTTTTTAAATATTTTAAAAATTGTATTTCGATTCTTTATGAGAAACATTTCGATAATTTATGAGAAAAAATAACATTTCATTTGGTAACTGTCTTAAAAAAAATAAAAACAAATAACATTCAGATTTCATACTGTCAAGAAAGTGTTTTGACATCGACGGCAAAACAGTTTTAGGACAGCTCCCATTGGAATTGAGCTTTGGTTTTTTTTTCTCCTCTTAGCCTTTGCGTTCCTAATAATTTGTCAATCAACTTCGGCGCGACAAGTTCTATCAAGATTAAAAAAAAATGCCTGGAAAGAGAACTTCGCACGATGTTGCACAACTGGTTTATTATAACCACCAGATCGGGAAAAAACGTCCAGGAACTGTCTGAAATGTTCTCCGTATTCCGGCAGACAATATACAGCATCCTAAATAGACCAAACCATGATACAATCATAGTAGGTAGTCTACTCGGAAAATTTCGGTCCCTCTACAATCATAGCAATGAGTGCGAGTGAGAGGGTCTCAATCTAGTAAGTGCGAGCGAAACGACATTAGGATGTATTGATTAACCCGTATGTGGTGTATGGGGCTTTAAGTTTCCTTTTAAAATAAAAAAGAGTTGAAATTTTTTTATAATTTAATTTTTAACAGTTTAGAGTTGGAAATGAGTCGTTGTTTTTGTTTTTGTGTTGACAGTCTTTTGTTCAAGTTCTTAATCCTAAAATAAATTCTAATCTTAAAATAAAATGTTTTTAGAAAGTCGAGTTCCGGAGCTATCTGTGGAACAGCATCTTCGTTCAAACGCCTCTTTTTTAAATTGATGCCCTCTATTTGGCGTCAATTTCCAGTGCATTTCTCGAAAATGCGTTTCACAAATTTTGGAGTAATCTCCTAGCTTGCACCCCAACGATTCCTCCCATACCGCTCGTTTTTCTAGACATTTTGGTGCCCTAATAAATTTCACGCCATCGACGTGAGTTTTGGCACACGTGGCAAAAAGTCATGTTGCACAAGGGTTAATTTGTAAAAAAAATCGTCCGTAGCCAACCTTTCAACACAAAAGCCGAACAAGCACTGAAGCAAAACCCGAGTGTTTTGACTGCCGAATAGACTACCTACTATGATTGTATCATGGACCAAACAAGGAGAATAGACTGGGTCCCAAGCCTGGAACAGGACGGCCTAGCAAAATTCCAGAGAGAGATGAGCGAAAATTGCTAAGGGAACTGGCCAAAATACCTCATGTTTCGCTCAGATCCATAGCAAGCGATCTCAAGGACACAAGTAATCTAAATGTTTCTCACGAAACCATCCGTAAGCTGCTAAAACGGACCGAGTACACATCCCAAAAATTATTGCTCTCGAAAATAAACATAGAAAAGCGACTTTGGTTTGCCCAGAAACACCAGGAGAAGCCACTGGACTTCGGGAGTAATGTTATTTTTTGCGACGAAACAAAGATGATGTTGTACTACAATATATTCATTGTCAAAACACTTTGTTGTACCCTTTCAGGGTACTATAATTTAAATTTAAATGTATATATATTCTTTACTAGTAAGCCAGGCGAACTCCGTTATGCCACCTTCGGCAAATTATCCGTTTAATTGAAGTGTTCTTTGGTAAACCACATTTTTTGTGATGTATTGTAGTTAATGGAATTATCTAGGGACCAAATAGCCCCTGGGATGTTAAAATCACCAAGAACTACTAACTAAGTGGTCCCTATCCGAAAGTCTTTTAGAGACCAACTGAATAGCGGAAAGATGGTTTCAATAAATAGGAAGTTCCGACAATGGAGGAAAGATGAAACTGTCTCGTTGGTGGTATTGCGATAAGGGGTTTTTTCAAGGTAAGCTGATTATCCGCCTTACCAATTTCGGACGGTAGTCCGGGCCTGACAGCCTGGTAGGGAACTGGGGCTCTGAGAGGGCAACTGTTGGGACCCTCCAGTGGACAAAACGGATATGGGCAACACCGGGGGCACGGTCTCACCCGCGACACCTTCGGATAACGAATATTTTCTAGCACTCTATCTCAGGATTCTTGAAATTTGTCCTGAGGTCGATGGCTATGTCGAGGAAGGCTGCTGTTAGGAGCCTGCCACGCAGGTTGGGATCCGCTTAGATGCTGCACACCAGTTGATCTTCGTGTGCCCACGCGTTGTCTCAATCGGGCATTTTCCCTTACTACATTTCGTCTCTCCTCGCTTAAGTTCTGTGAATACACTTGTTGCTGGATTGCATGCCTTGTGCGGAGACCGATGTTCACACGTCGTGCTATAGGCATTTTCGACTATAGGCAGAGCGGTTAATTTAACCTCTAATCCACATAATTTACACAGTTCAACTTACCACCCTAAATACAAATGCTGGTTTCCAATTGCACTGATATGAAACGAATAACTTATTTTACTCAAAATTGAACACAATTTCGATTTGTCATAAAATAAACTGAGTAGAGAATTATGGCTTGCTATGTGTCAGTGTTGGCGCTTTATGCAAAAATGATTTTCCCGCTTACTGTTGCAATTTTTCCTGAATTTTCTTTACTGCAAAAAATCACAAATTCCGAGACCTTTCCAACGAATGCAAAACCGTGGAAATCGGTTTGTGCGTTCTGGAGTTATTTGATCCCCGCAGAAAACTCGACTTAGCAGAATCGATCTAGCCATGTCGATCGATGTAAAACTTGGACACAATATTCTTAAGATATTGAACCTTTAAAATAAAAAAAAAAATTTTTTAATTAAGAACAAAAAATTAAATAGGAAGTTCCGACAATGGAGGAATGTAGGAACACGTCTGATAGGCCGATCTATTCGGTATACTGTGAACACAGCTGGAAAAACTTCGGAGCTCAGAATCTCCGGCTTTAACCAGGTTTCTGTGAACACAATACTTTGAAAGCAAATGTGACACTATTAGAGTACAATTAAGGAAGCTTACAGCGTAAGCCTCTAGCATTCTGATAGGAGATACCAAGGAAGTTTGTTAGTTTTTTGGGACGGACTTGGAAGACGTTGGTCAAATCGGGCCTAGGAAGAGTAATTCCAACTGTCCTTTTTTATACCCTTGCAGGGTATTATAATTTCAGTCAGAAGTTTGCAACGCATTGAAGGAGACGTTTCCGACCCTATAAAGTATATATATTCTTGATCAGCATCAACAGCCGAGTCGATCTAGCCATGTCCGTCTGTCCGTCCGTCTGTCCGTTTCTACGCAAACTAGTCCCTCAGTTTTAAAGCTATCTGAATGAAACTTTGCATTTAGTCTTCTATAAACTCTCACTGCTTTATATGTCAGAACGGGCCGGATCGGACGACTATATCATATAGCTGCCATACAAATGTTCGATAAGTTTTTAGAAAAAAAATTATAACTTGGCTGTTTTTCAATATTATTGCATCATTTTTGATATATAGACATTGTATATTTTTCCAGAATTTTGGTAAAAATTTAAAAAAAATCGGACCACTATATCTTATAGGAAAATTATAGGAAATTAATCGAAAAAAATTATTACTTCGTTGTTTTTCAACGTATTTTAATCTACTTTGAGACATGAGCTTCTGGTATTATTTCAGAATTTTGGTATAAATTTTATGAAAATCGTACGACTATATCTTATAGCTGCCATAGGAACGATAGGGAAAGTAATAAAAAAATTTATAACTTCGTTGTTTTTCAACGTATTTTCATCTACTTTGAGACATGAGCTTTTAGTATTATTTCAGAATTTTGGTAACCATTTTATGAAAATCGGACAACTACATATATCATATAAAAGCGATCCGTAGATGTAGAGAAAATGTAAAGCTGGGAATGTAAAACTGTAACTGTCAAACTGTAAACATACATAATAAGAATAGATAAAATGTTATGAAACTCAGTTTAGTGTCTGTTTTTGGCATTATAATTTATAATGTAAATATGAAAACCAATCTGCAAGGGTATACAAACTTCGGCGTACCGAAGTTAGCTTCCTTTCTTGTTTCTCTTTCTTTGCTTCGAATTCCTTGACAATCACATGCTTTGGTCAGATTTGGACAGAGCATAGTTTCTCAAAGAATTCCTCAGGAACATTTATTTTGAAAGATGAAACTGTCTTGTTGGTGGTATTGCCATAAGGGGTTTTTTCAAGGTAGGCTGTTTACCCGCTTTACCAATTTCGCCCGGTAGTCCGGGCCTGACACCCTGGTAGGGAACTGGGGCTCTGAGAGGACAACTATTTGGACCCTCCAGTGGACAACACCGGGTGCACGGTCTCACCCGCGACACCTTCGGATAACTAATCTTTTCTAGCACTCTGTCTCAGGATTCTTGAAATTTGTACTGAGATCGATGGCTATGTCTAGGGAGGCTGCTGTTAGGAGCCTGCCACGCTGCTTGGGATCCTCTTAGATGCTGCTGCACACCAGTTGATCTTCGTGTGCTCACGCGTTGTCTCAATCGGGCATTTTCCCTTACTACATTTCGTCTTTCCTCGCTTAAGTTCTGTGAACACACTTGTTGCTGGCATGCATGCCTTGTGCGGAGACCGACGTTCAAACGTCGTGCTCTAGGCATTTTGAACTATAGGCAAAGTGGTTAATTTAACCTCAAATCCACATAATTTTCACAGTTCAACTTACCAGCTTAAAGACAAATGCTGGTTTCCAATTGAAATGTTAGGAAACGAATAACTTTTTTTTTTTTTGTGCAAAACCATGGAAATCGGTTGGTGCATTCTGGAGTTATGTATATGATCTGGGTCTATAGGCAGAGTGGTTAATTTAACCTCAAATCCGCATAATTTACACAGTTCAACTCACGACCTTTTCTGTTGCAATTATTCTTGAAAAAGACGCTGAAATATATGAGGT